AGTGAAGCGATCAACGTGCTCTACCACTTCACTTCAAATTTCTAATCTAGGAGTCCATGCAGTCCAGTCCTGTAACATCATCTTGCATTTGGCGGGAGCGAATCGCATGCCAAACATTCGTAGATTGCGGCTCAAGGTGTTTAGAAGACTGCATTTCGTCAGCATCTTCGCCTAGAAGGACTATATCGTCTGCATATTCCAAGTCAACGAGATTATTCCCCGGTAGCAAGTCAATCCCTGAGTCGCTGAAGTCACCTAGGGTTAAGTCCATTAACACATCTATGATGAAGTTGAATAGAAAAGGGGATAATGGGCATCCTTGACGGACACCACTGGTCGTCATCAGTTCAGATGACAGCTCGCCGTAAGCCCTCACCTGGCTGTATGAGTACGAGTAGAGTGCCTTAATCAGTGCAATATATTTTCTTGGAATTCCCTTTACAGCCAAGCATCTCCAGAGAACTTCCCGATCAACAGATTCGAATGTTGCCTTTAGGTCAAGAAATATAATGACTGTTGGACGCCGGTAGGAATGCCTATGTTCTAGAATCTGTCGGAGGGTGAAGATATGATCAATACACCCTCTTCCTGGTCTAAAGCCTGCCTGGCTCTCTCGTGTTTGTGCTTTCCGCGCACCACTCAGTCTACGCATGATTATTGAGCCTAAGACTTTAGATACTATATTAGTCAAGCTAATCCCTCTGTGATTATCACAGGAAGACTTGTCTCCCTTCTTGTATATGGGGACAATCAGTGACTTACACCAACCCGATGGGACTTCTTCTGATTCCCAGACGCTGCCTAGTACCTCAGTTAATGCAGATAGTAAGCTGTCTCCACCGTACTTAAATACCTCTGGAGTCATTCCATCAAGTCCCGCTGCTTTGCCTAGTTTCAGAATGGTGACAGCTTTAGTAACCTCAGTTAGGGATGGAGGACCTGTGTCTATATCCCATTCAGGGAGGTGTTGGATGCTCGGAAGGTTGAGCGTGGCTGTGGGCCAATTAAACTGCTCCTCATAATGCCCTTTCCAACGATCCAGTCGTCTATCCTGGGAGCTAATTATAGTGCCACTTTTTTCCGAGATTGTTTCACTGATGATTTGTCTTCTCCCACCCGTTTCCCTGATGAGTCTAAACAGTTGCCTGGTGTTGGCTAACCTCGAAGATTTCTCCATCTCTTTGGCTTTTGTCGCCCACCACTGTTCACGGTCCTTGCGGAGACTTTTCGTAAGTTTCCTCTTGTGCAGCTTCCGCTCCTCATTGAATTCGGAGCTGCATTGGAACAGGTGTGCAGAGCAAGCTAGGCGCTTCTTATCACAGTCCATCGGAGACAACTTGATTTTCAGATGAATATCTACAAGGGTGTTAGTTTATCGAAAATTAGGATATTTCTTAGCGCATCTTCGCGAAGACGAAAGACAATGTAAGAGTATTCAGATATCAGGAATTCAGAGAGTGTGTATGTGGTGGGATAGTGCCAGATTCGGGAGGTTTTGTGTTGGGCTTATTTACGCAAGATGATGACCAGTGAACAGTCGATTCATTGTAACAACCCACAGTTCATTCTGTATAGACTGTGCTCCGAAAGACTGAAACAAACAAATTAACACGTTATAGCCGTGAGAATAAACAAAACACTACCTTGGTCTACCTTAGACTATTCTCACTTGGAACCTGTCCTCTACAACGAGCTAACCGTCCGTATATGATGACCTCATTTACATATTCCTTCCTTTGCACGTCAATTAGAAGATAGGGCTTGAAGATTCGTGATTTCTGATTAGTCATGATATCGTTTATATATTTATGTATATATGTATATACATGTATATTAAGAATGCTCACGTCGTCTGCATGCAGCACACTGCGATTTCCCTGTACTGCGTTTTACCTAGGTAAACGTTGTGATGCATTCACTCATTGTAATCTACTCTCCGAGATCCATCAAACCGTTATGCACTGCCATATTACTATTCTGAAATAATAGAGAAGATTTTAAGCTCAGGTGGTTGATTTGCAATTAATAGTGTTCTCTGTATTATTTATATTATTATATCCTTTAATTCCTAGAGGAACATAGGGCTTCAGCCACGCGTCTCCATTGCCTTTGGTTTTCTGTCAACTTTTCACTCCGCTTCAAGTCTGCCCACATGCTTTCATTTCCTCTTCACATAATTGTCGATGGCACCCCGTAGTAGTGAAATAGTTGCCAAATGTCCTGTCAATCGACTCTGTCGGAGGCCTTTTCAAAGTCGATGAAGTTGAGATAGAGAGGTGACTGTCATTCCAAGCTTTGTTCAATGATGATCTGTAGTGTGATGATTTGATTAATACATGACTAGTTTCTCCTGAATCCAGCTTGTTCCGGTCGAAGTTTTTCATCCAGGTTGGCTTGTTTGATTCTCTCCAGGATGATGCGGCTTAGTATTTTGCTTGGGATGGGCAGGAGCATAGTTCCACGCCAGTTTTTGCATTGACTTAAGTCTCCTTTCTTTGGTAGTTTGAATAAGTATCCTTTCTTCTAATCCTCGGGTACTTTGCCCTCCTTCCACACCTTCTCCAGAAATGGCGTCATCAAGTCCTTTGTTGTCTCTGGGTCCGTTTTCAATGCTTCTGCAGGGATTCCATCTGGTCCTGCTGCTTTTCCAGCTTTTAGCATCTTGATTGCATTCAGGACTTCTGATTTCTTCGGGATGGGGGTCGGGACGATGTTCACTAGTAGTTCTGCTTCCGTTGTTGGTATTGTTGGTCGCGTTGTAGGTGGCGGTCTATCTAGAAGTCTTTTGAAGTGTTCAGTCAGTGTTTTTTTGCTCCACTTCTTTGGTGATTGACTTTCCATTGTCATCCTTCACTGGCTTAATCTGTGTCGAACTTTTGCCCGATAGGTGCCTAGTTGTTTGGTAGAGCGTGGCGAGGTCTCCTTTGCCTGCAGCTTGTTGTGATTCACTTGCCATGGCTTCATAATATTTTCTATTGTCTTCCCTGGCACTCTTTTGTTCGGCGTGTTGTAGCTTGCATTCAACTCCTGTTTTTGTTGCTCGTCGGTGCACTGAATAATCTTTTGTTTCACCGTCCTTCTCTCTTCTATTAGTTTCCAAGTGTCCTCAGTGAGTCACTGTTTGTCCTGCCTCTTCTTTCTGCCTAGGACTTCCATGCAGGTTTGACTCCACACCGTTTTCAAGTTGTCCCAGTGCTTTTCGACGCCGACCTCTTCGCTGGTGTTGATTTGTGCCTCGGCTTTGTCCCTTATGTTTGCAACGAAGAATCAGCGTTGGACGTGGAGGATATATGACACCACCCTCTACGGAGGATACAATGAGGCGACCCATAATCGACGTGCAAATGTTTTATTTCCTATTATCCAACGCTGAGTGCTTCCTGGAACAACAATTCATACAAGTGAGTTTAGAATCACCACCATATTGGTCTTACCGTGGAAACTAAGACGTTTTCGATGAAAATATAGGATTGGCCAAACATCAATGCTGTTGTTTGAACAAAGCTATCTTCTCATCAGAAACATCATAGTTTCCATGTCAAGACCAATATGGTTAGCATTAAACATTGCGAATGTATACTACCATTGCAAGGAGTCTTCAGCTCCTTCTTGTATATCCCTTGTAAATGTACTTCCAATGATGTATTACCTATAATTGTATTTTATGGCATTTTTGAATTTCCCAGGACGTTCTTCTCTTCTTCAAATAGCTTTTAATCACGTTAGAGGAAAGCACTTACCCACGTATACGATGTTCACTACTTCACCGTAACTATCAGCATGGAACTAAAGGAAGTTTGGGTTGGCTCTCAACCTTGATGGTGAGCTTATTGAAAGGTTTACAATTTAACATTTATAAAAACCTGATTTGATTGTTTGTACTATAATTCGACACTTTAAACTTTTGAAAAGGTGCTAATATATTGACATTTCATGATTGTGACTCATAGCATGTCTAATTGTGCCTGTAAAAATGACGTGCAATCTTGCCTGTTTGTACGAAACATGAGTCTTTATCAATGTTGTTATTATTATTAGGGGTGGATGCACGCGCACCTTGTACAGAAGAATTCCGGAAACATTTCTGTGGAAGTTCCTGTCTGTCTGTTTTCGACATAGAACTTTGCACATATATGTGGCTGTTCAAGTCGCCACACTCCGTGTAGCACGCGAAGCAAGAGAAGAAAGTACAAGAAAAGCATAATAGAAACAGTGAGCAGAGGTGTGAGACAAAGGAGTAATAACGAAGGAAAAAACAGTTTCATTGGAGATCATAAGTCACACGGAATGGATGCATCTGCGCTAGCCACTGAGTACGATTTTGAACTATGCCACCAATTGTTTCCACCCATAGATTTCTACCTTCTCGAGGACCCCGGCCTGGAAGTCTACACCTTCCTACATGGCTTAGACCAACTGTTGTGGATTTCATTGACTGGTGCCAAGTTTTTGTTTGACCGCCGCTAGCTTTTTTCCAGCCTGACCCTATATCCGCTAACATTGCTCGTCGAGAGAGGCGATGACTTGGCATACGTGACATGTCCTAACCATCTCAGTCTTTGTAACTTCACGACTTGGTCGATTGATTTCCCCTGTAAGCACAACCTACTGATTAGCAGACTGTATGAGACTGTTGAAGGCTTTAGTCATGTCACAATATAGGTCAACCAGTAGGTCTCCTCTATTAATTCTACGGGTAGCTTCATTGAACAAGTCTTTGTTGATTGGCACGTGGTCTTTTCTGAGGAATCCATGTGGGGGTGACTTTATGCTTAATTAAGTAGTCTGACATTTGGTCTTTGATTACTCTTCCCATTATTCGTAATTGGAACAGTGTTATATTGACAGGCCTATGATTGCATGTAATAGTTTTCGTTCTTGCTGTATGCTTAGGGAGTATGTGTGTGGTTATCAATACTTCAGGTTAGGTTCCAGTCTCTAGTGAGACGGTAAATATTCTAAGTAACAAGACTGTTATATCCATCCTACCGTTTTTGTGTATGATAGATGGTGTGTCGTCTGTTCTACAGCTACCGGTGGCTTTTAATGTCATAACTCTTGAGGAGATATTTTTTCCACTAAAGTTGATGTCACGTATTTTGTGGTTATTTTCACAGGTTATGTCGAGGACTTGGAACGGGTGTGTTTGGACGTCATTAAAAATAAAACCACTGGCTGAAGAATCCATTAATAATCTGGAGATCATCGTAAATTATACTTTCATATTTCAAGTGGTTGACACTGTGGTCTTTACTGTTGTTTGAACATTTTTGCAGAATCCCGTAAAGTTTCTGCCTCCAAAGTTGTGTCATACTTATGCGCATCTACTCAAGCAGTTTAAATGTTACATGTTACTGGTGTAATGCACTAAATTCTTTAAATACATGGAATTCCCTTTTCAGTTGCACTAGTTTTATCCAGCCTTTGTGGCCTATAAATAGAGTTGGGGTTTTCGGAGCAGATTTTGTAGGTGGGATTGTGTCATTGGCCGAACCAATAGTCTTGTAGGAGATATGAAGCGAATAATGCACGTGACGTTTAGTTCAAACTCTTGGGTTTTAATTTATAACGGTCCTTTCGGTTCTTTCATCCTTCATTGATTAAGAGGTGTCATTCATGGGAAAATTCCTATTGTAACATAGAAAATCAAAACAAGTGATTCAGCGTAGAGGCTCTTTTCAACGAATTTATCATCAAGCTGTACAATCGTATATATATGTATATATATAGTTTTTAAGAAGTTATATCCGGTGAGGGAATTGAATCATAGGTGTGAATGCATAAAATAATAATAGTATGGAATTCAATTAAAAACTAAAATGTTTGTGATTATAATCATAAGTAAATGTGAAGTGGCAAAACAATTAATGTCATATATAGAATAATTCATAGGATGTATAGAACTTGGAAAGGGTGTGCAATTATAGGATTACTAGGCAAATCGAGTAAAATAGAAAACTGATAACATAGAATTCAACGTTGCAAAACAGAATTGATTTCGAATGATAAGTGGAACGAGTGAAATAGTACTGGAGACAGTTCGGAGTGAGAATAGTATTAGTAACAATTGACGTAATGAAGGAAGAGTATACAAATAGGTTAGACACAGCAGAAAATTGGTGAGGCCGAAATACTTTACAGAGATCTGGCTTTTCTGTTTCGATAGCCAAAGCTTCAACAATACAGATGAGTCGGATACTTAGTGATTTGGGCAAACTGCTTTTCGCCTCGTAGATAATTTTAATGGCGCAGGCTATAGAGATCGGATGATCGTTATCGACCAGGTGTTGGATGGTCGCGCTTCTTATTGTTCCACATCCACCTCTTCGTAACCATGCAGGATAGTGTTATTGCACCCCGTTCTTTTCTTGGTTACGGATGTTAAGTCACGTTTCATAGGACTAGACTGTATGTTCTTGTCTATAAAACGTTGTAGAAATCCATTTTCTATTAGGATTTTCTCAAAAGATTTAACTCATCCTCCACAGTATTAGAGCTACATATGCGGTGAGCGCGAGGGGCAGCGAACGGATCAGGTTTCGTTTTCGACCAATGGATACCCAGTATTTGGACAGATGAAAATTTGAAGAACTAGTACCAGCTTTCTGACGAGGGTCGGCGTTGCAAAGGCCTATGACGCTCTTAGTTCAGCTTCAAACTCAGTGCCTCTTAACAACTTCATAATGTGAAGAGTTGTACTTACAAGTTTAGCCGCTGTACACTGACTTTATGGATATTTCACATTGATTGTTGATATGTCATGCCTATTTCTAAATTTGTTTTTATCCAGTGATGATGTATAGCCCATTTCATACTATAGGGTAGGCTGTTTTCAAGCGAGAGGATTATCGGATTGTAGGATCCACACAAAACGACATACTCACTCAGTAGCAGTAAGTGATTAAGGATTTGAGAATGATGGGACGAATACTGAAATAGGAACTGCACTTCGTCTGTCTTTATCTGTTGAACGTTAGGGAGTGATGAATTCGATTCTGTATGTTTTGCTAGGTTCCTCCGCTTCATTTGCTCACTACTGCTCTTTCGAAATCAACTTTCAAATTCCATCAGGTTATTCGCATTGTAAGTGAACAATCATTTTGACAGAATAGTCGGTTACTAAACGGTCCAGAAAATTATACTTGTATAGTAGTAGTTGAAAGTGAATTTCATTCCTGCAGACTTGTAGATTCAAAATCAATCGTAGTATGGACTGATAAAATTAAAGATGCAATTGACAGGTAAACTGGATGAATAGAGGCACTAATCCACTCCTAATCATTGATATATCTGCCAGAAATAGTTTTAAAAAATATTGAAATATTACCTTTAGTGACTCTGTTTCAATCAGCTTGATCTCATTTCCAGTTGGCCTCAAGCGGAAACAACACCCATGATTGTTGTGGTCAACCTGAGCTTTGGCCACACTGCCTGAGGACTCTTCAGTCTAGTCCACCCAACCTGGTGACCAGACAGTTCTTAACACAGCTCTAGCTACTGAAGACAGAGCATAGTGCTTACAGTTGCTGAAAGTTGTATTTACTAATATGACGCATGAGTGGAGTCCAGAGATACAAAATTACACCACAACTCCGCCGTTGAGCTCATGTCTCTTGAAAATCCAATAGATCACCGATAAACAGATAAACAAATTAGGCTTTGACGGTGAAACTTCTGAGGTTCAATCGATCCGACCAACTCCTTTGATCACCGACAGGAAATCTTCCCCTTTGGTAAACCAGTGCAGTGGTATTTTCGTTACCGTTTTTCGTAGTTGATGTTGAGTTTAACGGTCAGAGATTTCCGTTCGGGCATTTGATTGTGAATCGCTCAGTTCACACCACTCTTTTCCTGGAGGCCAAACTCTAGTAGACAGTTAATCGAGGTTAGTCAGTTCGACAAAAGTAATGCGAAAATATGACAGCTGTTTGCATTCGTTACCAGTAGTAGTCAGGAATGTACTTGTCGCAGAAGTGTTTGTACTGAGTAGTTGCAATACATTAATGCGAATAACCGTAAGCATTTAAATAGCATTTCACATGAATTTGTTATTTCACCAGACGATCTCGAGAAAGTGCATGAGCTTTCCACAGATACAGCATAACGCTTTCGGAAATGATACGAACACTGGATAACGGTTGAATTTATTCTCTTTCTTTCCTATGTGTTACAGACACTAGACCTCTGAATGTGAGGAATCATTTTCCCAATTCTGTGAATCAGCTATGAAATTGAGCGCGTCATTAGAATCTGTTTTATCCTTCACGCCTTAGATCTATATTTTCTCGCTGTTCTAATATGCAATTCCCAACTTCCAGACTTCGTCTTGCTTCCCTCTCATACATTTCAATGTATACCTGTACTATTCGCTTCCATCTTTTGAATTCGAAGCTGTTTCTCGAAAATGTGTTTCTTAGTTAGGTGATAAATGGTGTGTGTGTGTGTGCAAACTGAGCTGACAATGCATCTGTAGGATCTCTACAACACAGGATTCTATGGTTACAGAAACCGATTGTTTTTATCAAAATAACTACCCGAATTACCTACCGACAGGTGGTAATACTGTGGGAGGCTAAATGCATTTTTAAAACTCTGGTTTTTGAAATCATGGAACAGGTCAAGTGAAGCGGGAAATCTAGTGAAACACACGGTAGAGCACTCACTATTTGCATAAGTAAAGAAGGCCCTACGAATCATAAAGAGGATATAACTCCTACTTGATTACTCATCCTATCCTGAATTCCTAAGTCACTTGCTACATCTGAATGGCCATAGCATGATGTGTTATAGAGGACCTACATGGTCACTTAGTAGTGATAGTAGAGGTTACAGTTTAGATGCCTACAAAAGGGTGTGCACGAGTTCGTCACTCTTTTATCACTTACTGCAGCATATCTGTGCATTATGCGCCTGATTCGTGCGTGAGGTAGTCAGAAGTTCAACGCGAAACTCAGGGAGAGAGTTTCAGAATATTGTCGACTTCGCGTAAGATGCAGAGACACGATAGACAAAGACACACTAACTGATCTTACTCTCCACAGCAGGGTCAGTTCGCAGTACGGGATGCACATAGTTCGAAGAAATTGATAACAGTTCGATGTTAGAAATCCACTACTAGGAGAGATGGGCGATAAAACTGGTTTTTGAATGACAGGATTACCTCCATGAAATCCTTGACAAACAATCATAATCTTGTTCTGTACGGATGTATTAAGCACGATTGGTATCTTCATGTTGTAGAGATTCAAAGTAACAATTTTTAGCTAACAACATGGTCCTTGCCAAGCGAAGGTGAGTACACTCCAGACTTAACTCCAAAATATCTACCTATCTAATTTCACGTTAAATCATCATTAGTAAGAATGAATTCACTGGTCACACTTTTGGCTTCTGTCTTAAAAGTTTGTGGCGACAGGAGTGCCATCATCTAACAGTGGGGAAGTTCTAAGAATGGGTTAAGGGGAATAACAGGAAGACTGAAAACTATCATATCACTATGACAACTGCGACCCATCTAAAAGATAGAAAGGTGCTCCGTATATCTCCTAATCAACAAAAGAAGGACATTGTAAAAACGAAGGTTCTCAAGCAAGGCATCAGAGCACACAATATACTTAACCCTAAAAAATCAGAGTATCAATTAAGTTCGAAGGTTTACGAGTACATTCCAGACAAAATTTAGCCGGAAGTCACAAACCAACCTTAAGAATCTGCGCCGACTCCTGACTTAGAGGAAAAGCCTTAGTCAAGGAACGGTCATGGGAACCAGAGAGGTGAAAATCTGAGGAATCTAAAGACAGCCGGAATTATTGGTGACATATTCGTCAGACAGCCTAACAATGAGGATGCAACGAAATGTGTTTCCGTTGACAGACACGGTGCAGCCTAAAATCATAGAGATTACTCCTTTCCGAATAATTCTGAGTATAGTTTTAGGAAAGCCCTATCTAGAAAAATTCCCAGAATATAACAACATCAATCCGGTGGTGGTCAAACAAACTATCTATTCCTTTAACACCCGTCTGAGTAATGTGTTTAGGCATTCATTGGTCTGATGCCAGTTGGTGAGGGACTGAGTAGCCGCTATCCCACAGCCTTATTTCAAGCATGAGCATGGACAGAATTCCAAGTGCCTTAGACTCGTAGAATTTATTCCCAGCAATATAAAAGATGGTGGAAAGCTTACTGGATGATTATATCAGGGAGCATCTGAACGGCAACAGCATCCTGCATGAAATGGGAAGTGGATCCAGAAAGG